GTTAAAATTGTACAAGGAATAAAACTTGAGTGGTCCTTACGACACCATATATCATTTTATTAATTAATCATCATTTTTGAAAATTTCTCTGGTTTCAAGTCGTAAACGATAAAAAAAATCTTATCATGGCTTTTTTCTGAAAAACTTAACATTTCCCTTGATTCGGATTAAAGGACCAAAGAAATATAATTATGGTCCTTTTTGCGTTTAATTTGTAAGGGTATTAATGTCAGACTATGAAAAAAGAAGAATTTAATTAAAATGTTTTATGGAATTGTTTAAAGGATTTTATTCGGTGTAGGCCAGGCCAGACTAAGTTGACATTTATTGGAATTCTTATACGATTTGAACGGAAATCCTTTAGAAGTATAGGAGAAATATTTGTGGATGTTTAGTATTGCTGTTGACCTGTAGCAAACAGATGCGGAAAGTAATAAATACTGTAATAGATAAAGTCTTCATGAAAAATGTTTTTAAACTATGAATAAAATAATTCTGGCGTGTTTAAAGTTAAATGATTCGCACGGCAAATAACGGATTAGTCATCATAAGTACATAACATGCCTTTTTACCCCCGAAGGGGTAGGCAGAAGTGCACATTACGGCAACGCCACTGTACAATGTAACACCCACTTTTCACTATTTATGTTATGAGTCCCATGTAGGGGGTCATCATAAGTTTGAAACAAAATTATCTAGTTAATTCAGCAAGAGGAAGTGTCAGACACTTACTGACTAAAAACCACTCCGTTCCTACTCCTGCTTTAAGGGCACGCACGTCACGGTGATGTTCTGTAACGTGGAGTCCTGGACGCTTGCTTTGGCTTAATGATAATACAGCTCTTCTGACCAATGAGTCCTGTTTAATAAGGGGTGACCCAACTGCCACGTTAGTAAGTACTTTCCTATTAAGCAGAACTACTAAACAATAAGTTCTTATTAAGAATAGTTCCTATTTGAATTCCCCATTATCCATTGCGGCTCTTGAATGTCATTACTATAGCACTTTATAGTGCAAATTATAGATCGCCATATTGGATGCTTTCTTTCGTCATATCGGTCCTTTACAAGAAACAATAAGTCATAAAATTATCCTTATGAGTTCAGACAATTATTTTTATAGGCCTCTGTTTGTTCTGACGTCAGGGATTACAATGATTAGTTATATTAGTTATTATGTATAATGTTATAAGGTATAAGTATATTATGTGATAAAATTTTGACTGCACGGTTGGTGCGGTGGCTGGGCAACCGGCTGCCGTGCAACGTGTCGCGGGTTCGATTCCCGCACGGAACAACACTTTGTTGGATCCACAAATTGTTGTTTCGTGTCTGGGTGTCATTGTATATGTGAACTTGTATGTTTGTAAACGCACCCACGACACAGGAGAAAATCCTAAAACGGGGCAACATTTTATTAAAAAAAATAAATAAATAAAGCCTCCGAATCGATTTCGATGATAGTGGCAAGTGGCAAGATATGAGACTCATAACTTAAATTGTGAAAAAAGGGGTGTCACATTTACAATAGCATTAAGTGCCGTAATTTACACCTCTGCTTACCCCTTCGGGGATAAAAGGCGTGATGTTATGTCACGTTATGTTATGTTATTATGGCAAGTCTAACTAGGTTAGCCCAGGAGATATAATAGTGCGTAAATGTGTGCAAACACAGGTGTACTCTCTGTTCCCTCACTCTTTTAACCCGATAGAATAGTAAACCACGGAACAATGAAGGAGACACACTTAATACCTGCCAACGAGATACCAGCGGTAAGTAATAATATCCGCAAAGTTGCTGGCAGTGGTCGGAGGAAAAGAGCTGAATATAGAGGTCTGTTATGTGCTGTTGAAAAAGCCTATATCCAGCAGTGGACAGAAATGGACTGATGATGATGATGAATGCCTCGTTGGCCGAGTGGTCGCAAGTGCGACTGCCGGGCAAGGAATATAAGGGAAGAGGGCACTAGGCTCACCCCCTATTTCATAAGACTCATAACATAAATAGTGACAAGTGGGTGTTACATTGTACAGTGGCATTAATTGCCGTAATGTGTGCCTGTGCACAATGTGCACATTAAGCAGAGGTGCCTCTGCTTACCCCTTCGGGAATAAAAGGCGTGATGTTGTTGTTGTTTTCAAAGTAATAGTTAAGTTTAATACTTCAATCAATGATTAAATGACATTTCATGTTTCCTATTTTAGAGAGGCTCTTCCTCATACATTCCGCAGCGTGCGCGGTCGTGGCAATATCCCGCAGCCTGCTGTGGCTCGAAACTACTTAGTAAAGCTTTTCTCAGTATATCCACGTGAGTAACCCGCGATTTTAGGTTAATTTAGTACTCACTATAGTCACTAATCTCACTATAATTATTATAAAAACATTTCATATTTATGTTATGTTTTATTTGACTGAGAAAACTAGTTAATAGTTTGGGGAGAAAAGTAGAATGGTAAACGGCAGGGAGATGATGATGATGAACCATAAACATTTTAAGTTCAGAAGAGTTGAACACATATCTATCACTACCCACATACATTAAACTGTCAAACACCAAGCGGTCACCGGTGGGTGACCGCAACCTATTGTTCTATAATTGTGTCTATAATGACGGTACTCGACGAGTTAAAAGCTATTTTATATACCACTGAGATATTCCTAACTACATTACATAATTTTGAATTATTGAATAGTGAAAATGGACATTCATACCAAAACGACATATGTATAGAGGTATATTCTGTATTTCCTGAAGGGATAACCTGGGTGTCTTCAAGGCCCGAGTGAATAGGTTGCTTATGGGACAACATGCTTTATGGTAGACCACATCATCGGTTAACACCAGGCAAGATATTGGACAAAGTGGGCGACACCAAATTAAAAAAAAATAGCACCAATAATAATATAATAATACCTTGAAAGAGTGTACAGTAACAATAATATGAACTTTTACAAACCAAGTATGAATTTATTTGGAGATTTTGTTTTAATTGAAGGATGTTGATAAATGGTGGACAGTATCTTGAAACAATGACTATGGCACCAGTGCCTTTAGCCAAACGCCACTTTAGCCCTTGTCTACAGAGAGAGTAGAAAACTAAATGTATGGGGATGACACTGACAAGGGTTAAAATTTATGTCAATCTATACTAATATTATAAAGAGGAAAGATTTGTATTTTTGTATTTTTGTATGTTTGTAATGAATAAACTCAAAAACTACTGGACCGATTGCAATAATTTTTTCACCATTAGAAAGCTGCATTATTCAGAAGTAACATAGGCTATATAATATCACGCTAGGTCTTATAGTTGTGGAGCAGTAACCAAAAATGTTTTAAAAACGGGGAAAAAGTATCGTTTCTGAGGCCTTCCGTGGCGTGCGCTGAGCATATAGTTAAAGTTATACAAAAATGCTCTATGGATGAATTGTTCATCTTAACATTATTTTTAAAAAAGTCCGCGAGAGCATATGTCTACCTTTTATAGTTTACCCATAACAATAGTTTAAATGAATGGTTCAATCCTTATAAAAGTTTGCTCTAGATAACTTTTGAATTGTTCAATCGGTTACCTAAAGACTATTAATTCATCCAAAAGGTACCTATTAGGTAAGTACTTATGTACTATTTCAAAAATAATAAACTGAGAATAAATTAAATATAAATAAAACGTAAAACTATGTAAAAAATCTTAAGTCCCCCCGTGCGAAGCCGGGACGGGCCGCTAGTTTCATATAATTTGGTTTTCTATTCTACATGTAGACAAGCACCAAATGGCATTTGGCTACACCTGCTGGTTATAGACTAACATGCAGAACATGCACACATTGACACGAAAGACTTTCATTCTTTTAAGAGATCTCTCATTTTTTTAAGGTAACATGGTAAGCCATTCCACACAGATATAAAAAACCACTTCATTGTCTTATTATTATTACAGTTTAATGTCCACCTTTTTCTCAACATCCTTGTTCAATTCTGAATCTATATAGGTATCTTTATATAAGTAATTCTTCTGTGAGTGTGAATGTCACTGAACTTCTCTCAAATAACTGGACCGGTAATGGTTTAGATTCACAAATCAGCCCGGCAGATAGCGCGCAATCGATGTTTAGGTTATTTATCCTAAACTGCTGAATTAATTTGAATGAATTTTTGTATATACATTCAAGTTGATATGCAGGACAACGTCTGTTAGGTCCGCTAGTCTATATATAAAAATGAAACCCATTTCCCATACTTGAGAACGGCTAGACCGATTTGGCTGATCTGCTTTTTGTTGTATATTTTATTATTAGGAGAAGGTTCTTATGACAGATAAATGTTCTGAAAATCGTACGGGAACGGGAGGAAACGAGATTGCGCGTACGAAGTCGCGGGCAGAAGCTACGAATTAATAAATGTCAAATAAGTTTGTTTTGTTTTTGAGTAAGTACCTAAAAGAACTCAACTTTGAATAATTCATGATAACATTTAAATTAAAAGTGTCAACTTAGGTAACAATTATTTGAAATAAAATAATAATAATTATGTAAAATTCCATAGAATTGGTAGTTATTATGCTAAATTCGAAAATAATTAATGCATCTAATAAATTATTATCTCCATTAAAAATCTACAAAAACAATTACCTACTTAGATATGTATTCAAATTTACCATTTTTATGAATTATGTTCAGATTGTTATCTTTGTAAATTCTACATATAATCGAAAATATTCTAACACAGGCTTATTAGAATTTTAAATATATTTTAATTCCTGGTTTAATTCATTAACACGAGTGCTATAAATGTGTAAAAAATATATAAAAGTCAAACAAGAGGTTCAACCTTTGCTTTTCTATTTTAGATTTCAAATTAGGTAATTAAATAAAAATATTATATAGGCACAGCTAGCACATTACGTTCCAAACTTCCAAGATCAAATACTTATGACGACTTTAAGCGCGTTTAGATTTACATGCGACATTGTATTATTAAATTAAAAATAGTACTTACAGTACTTCAGCACTCTGTTTCAACTCTTCCGCCTTGAAAACACGATTGTCAAACAACTCTGGACCATTTTTCCTGCATGAATAATACTTTTCTATACATGCTTTCGTCTTATCCATGTCCCCATAACAAGCATTATAGAATAACACTAATTGTTTATCGGTCAAATCCTTCGGCACATATTTTGATTTATCCAACTTCTGCGACCAATAACGTAGCTCATTGATATCGTCCTGGGAAAATTTATCCATTGCTGCCGTCGCCTCATTATAATCAAACTCCAAATCCACCAACATGTTTTCGCTTTTTATCTATTTTCGTCGTAAATCGTGAAGGAATTTGTTTATGTTCAACATACGCCCAACTTCGAACACGATAAATTGACAACTGAAACTAATGATGAAAAAATTATACAATTAAAAAATGATAAGACAAAAGCAGTGTTGCCAAGTCGTAAAGAAATATTTCTACCAAAAATCTAATCTATTCCATTCAAAGGTTGTACAAAGATTTTTGTAGGGTTTTAAAGACCACCTAGATTTTGTAGCTTTAATTGAGATATGAGATTAAACTGGTTAAGTATAAGAGTAAAGATAAATACGTTGAAAATATGGATTCCGCTTCCTCATCGTATGTATAAATGATAGTATTTATTTGAACTATTGTCGCATAGTTTAATTTATTAAATATATATGAGTATTTTAGAAAAGAACTAAACTTTTACTTAATTTTTACAGAGAAACCAACCTCGTGATTATTAATAAAAAAGAAAAATTCAAATTGTTTTGCAAAACGTATTGGAGGACAATGGTCGTACTTATCGCTCCTGTAATTTTATCACCAGTTTTATTTATTCAGAGAAATAATGTAAGTGCCTAGATTACCTTGCATTGCTTACTCTATATTTATCGATTACTAGCAAAATAGTCGTGTACAGGAATGATATCGGCGGCACATTACAATGCAGTTGCTCACGCAGCCACTGCGACAAATGTTCGGTTCATCTATCTCAGATTTTAGATTTAAGCATTTTCGCTAAAACATGGAAGTATTTAAACAATAAAACATCTATGCAACAATAACGCACCACAAGACACCTCATTTATACAAACAACCCTTGGCTGTCCAATGCCCTTTTAAGTACAGTACAGTAATTTTATCAGTACAGTAGTCCTAGATCTTTATAATCACGCTCTGTTTATTCTAGGCATACAAAAGTTTCTATGTATTACTGCTTATGATTGTGTACTGGACACTCGACGTGCTGCATCCTTGCGTATTGGCCATCATGCCCATCGGTATTTCATGCGTCATGAGCGGAGTTGGCAAGAGTTTTATTAGCGAGGTAATTCGATGGTGCCTATTCATGATATATCCACTAAGTTAGGTATTCGATTTCACCTATATGTCCTATATATACGCATCTAGTTGCGATAGCGTAGACATTTATATTCGGGAACCTTTAAAGACATAGTTATCTAAATAACTTATTGATTAAGTTTTACGCTTTCAGATGTATATTCGAAACGATTTGTTGGACTGTATTGGAGTGATGATGATCATAATAGCTATAGAGAACAGTATGGTGCACAGGAGAATTGCTATCAAAGTCTTGCTAGTGTTCGGATGTTCACATTATAGGTAGGTCAAATCTCTCAAGATGTATCGATAAACTTAAGAAACAAGGACAACAGATAAATAGTTACACCGGTAGAGAAAAGAGGCCAGTTCACAGTTTCAAGAAAATCCATCAATCAATGAATTCCAATTTGCTCCACCCCAACTTAATTTCTTTTTATGACCTAATATGCTAGGAAGCTGGAGAGTGACACGGGTTACTATTTTTTACCAAGCGGACGAACACCCAGTAAAGTTTAAACTGTTTGAATATGTATTTAGTTTTTAGTATCCACCACTTCGCAATGGTCAGCTGAACAAAAAATTTACACTTTGTAAGAACGAAGGGTTAGTCTCCGACTACGTAAATTAAAATCCTGAATACAACTACCTAGTTTAATTCTTGTTGCAGATTAAGTTTCCTTCTCTTCTTTACAAGCATGTTTCTATCGATGTGGATCTCCAATATTCTTGCTTGTGGTCTGATGATGCCAGTCGTCAAGGCCATCCTCATGGAGCTAGAGAAGGTAAAATTTCCATGAAAGGTCTTAAAGTTGCCTCATTGCCTTGAAGCTCTACACTTATTTATTTTCAGACAAAACCTACTTGACGTTATAATTTATGTTAATTCATTTTAGATGGGGATCGTAGAACTGTATCAAACCATTGGAAAAGCAACTCAAAAATCTAATAGACATGAACAAAAGTAAGGGACTAGACACTTTTCTTGATCTAATTTTTTTTGCACGTCACGTTAGATGTTTTGTGTCAAACTAAAACCTGATTACAGCGTGCCAAGGCCGTCGAACTTCACTATATTTTATTTTCTTGGACTTGCCTATTCGTCTTCCATTGGTGAGTTAAAAATAAAGTGATTCTTGTAAGTAGGTAGGTAATGAAATATTAGGCATTACATCATCATTGTTCATTAGTGGATCTTATAAAGAATTTAATTGGACTACTTTTTTATTTGTAAACTAGGCTTCGATATTATAGAAGACTCTTGTTGAAAATAACTTGGTATATACAGATTATAACTCCATGCTGGGTACTTAAATATTGCTTTATATTAGGTGACATGGCGACTATGATGGGTAGTCAGACCAATCAAATATTTAAGATTTACTGTGAAACGTAAGTAATTGTCAATAAACTATTTAAAATATATTAACATTAGCTTTATTATAATAAACTATCTATTTTTAAAGCATATTTCCACTCGGACCAAAGATAGAGTTCCCTCACTTCATGTTGCTAAATCTACCTGGAGTACTAGTCATGGAAACGCTTCTGTACATGTGGATGAACTTCACTTTTTTGGGAATGTTCAGGTAAATTATGAATACAGCCAGTGAGTATAGCCTTCAAGGGCCAAAAAGTATTGAAATATAGGTATGAAGCTTTATTCATCTTTTGAGGATTTATAAATGAAGTGCTGCCTAAAACTATATTTTAATCAAGGACATTGGAAAAAGGCGGAAATAGTCCCTTGAAACAACGAGTGGTACCTGGCTACTATAGACTAACACGCAGAAAACACATACATTGACACGAAGGACATCTGTCGCCGTCGCGTTACTAGCCCGTCATTGCACTTCACTCCATATGTACATTACGGTATTGCAAGTACACGGCCACACACTCAATAAATACACCACTGACATTTTGATGTTTCAGTCTTTCAGTTTTTTGTAAGTGACTATACGTCCGCCTAATGTTTAATTTATTTCTAAAATTTTCAGTAGGTAGTTTTTTAGTTTTCTGTTATGATAGCCCTGGTTCATTTTTTGAATTGCATTTAATCATTGTCAAAGTGACAGTTTGATTAATTAAGATCTTACTTGATGACAGTGACAGTGGTGACAATTAAAAAAAATCTGTATTGTTGTGATAATTATTTTGTATTGCATTAGTAAAATTATCAATTAAAACGATAATGGATCCCTTAACAATAATTAAATCTCGCCAAAGAGCAGAAAATTGGACTAAAGAAGAAAAGGTTTGTTTCATTTCGAAAAAATATATGTATAATAATTTTTTATGCGAATTATTATTTAAAAATTCTTCTCTTGCAGAACATTCTTTTTTATATTATGCGCGAGTCGGCTCCTATTATTGACAGTAAGAAATCAGATAGGGAAACAAATCTTAAAAAGGGAAGAGAGTGGCTAAAAGTCCAAAAAAGGTAAGAAATATAAATATTTAAATAAAGTTAACCACTATATGTAAGTATGTAAACACAAAACTCGAAAACGACTGCACCCAACTAGATTCTTTATTGTATGTCAGTATAGCTGCTAAAGTTTTTGAAATCAATATTTTCATCACTAGTTTGATTGAATTATTTGTCAATTGTAGTAGGCAAACTACAATTTTATTTGCTATTCCAGATTTGTAGAACTAACAGGCAAAAGCAGAGATGTGGCTCAAATAAAAAGGTTTTGGATAAGATTAAAATGTACAGCCTCACACCATAAAAAACTAGTAAGGTCTAAAGAACCTCCGACATCTTCAACTAAAACGAAAACCGCTAGAGAGTTACGTCCAAATATCAAACACATTCGTTTGGTTTTTAAGAAAAAGGAAATTAAGATTGATAGTAATGCTGTGGTAAGAGTTATTTTGATATTAACTCGTCAAGTACCGTCCTTATAGACACAATTATAGAACAATAGGTTGCGGTCACCGGTGTCCGCTTGGTGTTTGACAGTTTAATGTTGAAAAAGTTATTCCATATTATTAATTTGTTTAGTACTTACTGATTCTGTTAACCAGAAAATGTCCACTTCAGTGCCTAACTCCACCTGAGTCACACTTAATTACTTATGCTAAATAACCTCCTCCTTTTTTGAAGTCGGTTAAAAATATTATTTTAGATATGTAATATTTCAAATATTTTCAACCATGATCTCTATATTATTCTTACAGGCCTTACAGCAACTACAAACACCATTTCAAGTCGAGAAAGATGAAACTGAAACAGCCAATCAGATGCTTCCACAAGAAAACACAGAACCACCAATAGATTTTAATCTAGCAAATATTGAACATAATGTTGACCAACCACATTCAGTCCTGTTAAAATGTAAACCAATCACAGAGCTAGTAGCCGACAGATTTGTTAATCTTGAACCTGAAACTACAATAAATGAACAAATAGAAATGAGTAATATGGAAAGTAATAATTCAATAATGAATGAAGATGAATTCTATTATTTTGGTCTGAGTGTAGCCGCACAACTTAGATCGATGCCACTAACAAATGCTCTAGATTTGCAGTCAAAAGTTCAAACTCTTATATCAAATGAAAGACGGTTGCAGCTTAGTTTAAATACCAACTAAGCATATTTTAAGTAACAAAAATATATTTTTAAAAATGGAGTAATTCTAGTAGATTTTTTATTGTAAACTGTTTGTATCTCCTTCATATCCAACCAATTTTAACTTTCACAAATTATTATTCTAATTTGAGCAATACTTCCATAATTAAAAAATATTTGCTACTGCCATAGACATGTTTTGTACATAATTTTATATAGAAAATACTCCTTTCAATAATATATAAGTATGTAGGATAGTATGTAATATTACATTCGTAATATCTATATATAATACCTATGTATAATATAAAAACTTATGTTAAGAATAAATATTACCTTTATGAACAATTTTGTTTTCTTTTACTACATATGTACCTAACTTTCGCGGCTTCGATGATCGCACGAAACCAAGTATTTGTGTAATCCACAAATTGTTATTTGTAAACGCATCCATGACCCAGGCGAAATTCCTAGTGTGGCTCAACAGTTTAAAAAAGCACCGAAAACAACAAAGTTTTCTTAGTGTTGATTATAAATAATAATATGAAAAGAAGGCATACAGGCAACAATATAAATATAATATTTAATGTATGTAATATAAATATTTCAGAGGTCGAAGCGATGTAGAGGTCGGCCTAACGGAAGAGGAGACCCAGTACATTGACACGCTGCTAGCCACTCAATACCAACAGCTAGGAAAAGTAAAGTTCCATGAAATTGTTAGTATTATTATCGTTACAGATTATGTAGCATAGAATCAGAATTTAAACTACCCACAATGAGGTAGACCCAATGCAAAAGTGGGACACGAATGTACAAACTCGACTAGAGTGATACCACGACGTCACAGAAAACCGGCGTGAAACAACGCTTATATGATACTTTAGGTACCATGTCAGTGAGGTTACCGGAGGTCTAATACCCCCACTCGTTCCTAAAAGGTCGACAACGGATTTGTAACACATGTAGTGTTGCGAAGTCCTATGACCGGCAGCGGGTAGTCGCCAGGGTATGAAATTAACAACCTATTATTCCGTCGGTTAAATAATTAAAAATTTTAGACACATAACATATCATTACGCCTTTTATCCCCGAAGGGGCCTACCTCTTTGAGACAGAGGTGCACATTATGCCACTCCAATGTAACACCCACTTTTCACTATTTATGTTATGAGTCCCATGTAATTAATAGGGGGTATTGCTATATACCGGGCACAATTCCAGGCTCCATGCTACTACTGAGAATTAAAAAAAAACCCAAAATACTTTGCCCGACCTGGGAATCAAACCCGAGCCCTTGCCAACGACGCAAGTTTATGAATAGGAAGTTGTTACGTCAAACTTTAATTTTCATCATCAGTTTCAAATGAATGTATCGTCGGAAGGATTTAATTTTGTGACAAAACAAAATACACCTACGTGTGCACCTAATGTTTTAAAATAATTTACCGGACGGACATTAAAATAAAATAAAATTTTATTTTTTAAAATTAATCCTATTGACTACCATCAGGTGATCCATTTATTCGTTTGCCGCCCTACCCCTATAAAAAATGTTTTTAAGTCTTCACGACTTTGAAGTTGCAGCAATAAGTAAGATGGTAGTAATAAGTATAAATTATAATTTAATTAGGTTTAGGTATCGCTTATCAATACACAATTTAAGTACATAATTACTCTCTACCCAGGCAGTATCGACCATCGCAGTACTGACAGCGGTGTTGCAAGCTACAATCAGCACTGCCCACATCGACCAGACGACGAACGGAAATCCGGACTTTCATAAGTAGATACAGATTCTAATTACCTTTGTGCCTACGTAGGTAACATGACGCCGTTCATTGCCCAAAGGTTCAAGGGAGAATCACTATCTCCTTTAAAATTAAATACCCACTGGAAAATGGAAATGAGCGCAATTAAAACTTTCCTACGTGGTCCGCAATGCATCTTTGATACTTCTGGTGTTGCTGGTGCAATAGCCATCTGTGACCACTTACCTACCTAGCATCAGCTACTAAGTTTTCCACCCATGTTATCAAGGGTTAAGTAAGGTGACTTATTTCTGCTACTTAGTTGTCATATTTTTATTTGCAGACACTTCAGAGTGTCATCACCATGTGCGCTGTGTGTTATTCTATTGTTCGTGACGCCTGTTAACTTGGATTTTCTCAGATATTTCAAGACACAGTCAGGTACATCATCAAGTTAGATAAATTAGCTGTATCAATAATGGATAGGTACTTAACCTACATTTTTCTAGAAATGTCTTTACAAACAACGTCATCATCATCATCATCAGTCCGTTTTCCCACTAGACATGAGGCATTGGACCCTATGACGGACGATACTTAACGGAAGATCATGTCTTTTTCCTTGCTTCACGGCTACAGTAATAATTAGCCAATCGGAAATTATTCAGTAAACATTGACTCAAAATAATCACCAAAACAACGAATTGATGAATGATAAATTACACTGAATCAAACGGATTATTCATACCTCGTCTATTTATCATTCTACTTGAATAGGTTCAGTTCAGTTCCCTATAACTAATACCTATAACCGATTGTCTATATTTAGATGAGAATAATAAGCCATTGCCGATCTCTCAAACCAAATCATGTCTGAGTTGGAACCTGGTGCGAAGAAATATTCACTGGAGCATACCTTTGATTATAGGTAATAAAGAGATAATTAATTAGGGACTTACCCATAAATGATGCCTACCTCTTTTATTAATACATAAACAGGTAGGCACCTGTGTATGGACGCCGTTGCTATACAGCGTGAAGTCTATTTCGTTTACGTCCCGCCGCAAAACTACTTCCCCAAAGAAGTATCTACTATCAATGTATAAATCAAACTAATGATAAACCAAAAAAAATAAGATGTCTTTTTATAGTTTAAAAAGATATTGCATTGAAATACACACATGAAATACTTAACGTACCTAAATTGTAGGCACTATTCGCATCGCACGTGCCACTCGATGAGAAATACCTCTTCTCTGCGTGTTGTTTTGATATTTAAACTGTCAAACACCAAGCGGTCACCAGTGACCGCAACCTATTGTTTTATATAATTGTGTCTACTCAACGAGTTAAGTGAGATAGGTTCATGTGCGCTTTCGTAGTTTAGGTACTTGTTGCAATGATTCACCAGTTATTTTGTATTTTAAACATTTTATTTCTTTGTCAAACTATTGTATTACTAAGACAGAACCATTTTACTTCGGGACGAAAACGAACAGAAAATGAGAACCGGAGTAGACCTCCTGGTTTCACATTGTAAAAAGTCATGCACCAAGCGAATTTTCAGAAATACAAAACCTTGTAGTTGTACAGTCTCTTCTTTGTGCCTTTAGGCTTAATTCATTCTGTCTCCTGCAGTAATTCACCGAGGGAAGTGAAAACCACAGTTTTTTCTTCTTCTCCTCTTATAATATCTTCTGATTCACTTCGTTGCGGGAACCAAGACAGTTATTCATGTCTCTGGGACGCGCCGGACTTCAGTGTTCCGGTGTTTTCATGGTTGTATCTACTGTAGATCCTGGCTTACAGGAGTTGCAGCGGTTTTGGGAGGTTGTGGCGGGCTTGTCCCAATTAAAAAAAAAAAAATACAAAACCTTAGTCTTACTTTGTCCGATTGAATCGAACCCTTTTGTTGGCAGTTGTGCTTACCACCGCTAGACGATAGAGGCAGTTGTATCTAACATCCTAGAGATATAAACCAATTTTCTTATATTATTTTCTCATAAAATTTCCAGCCGGCAGCAGCACTCTCTTAGAGTCACTTAGAGACTCCGACATGATACTAGAGTTTGAGAAATTCCTCCTGATCTTCGAGAGCTGGCCGGCATCAGCTCTGGTCTTCATCGTCGTGATCTTCTGCAAGATTCTTACTGAGTTCGCGTCTAACTTCTGTGTAGTCTACGCTCTACTGCCTAGCATCGCTAAAGTGGTGAGTAGAAAAATCTCAGAAGGTTTCTATCGCTTTCGGAAATAACTAAGTTATAGTAGATTAGTAGACATGTAGGTACCTACTTATCTACCTAATTATATCGATTCTACTGCCTACCTCTAATTTGTCACCTTACCAGTACCTACACTTCGAACGGAGAAACAGAATCTTTGATCGTCCCTAGAAACACGCAGAGATAATACAATCAGATGATGGAGATAAGGCTATATATGGTATCAGTTAATCATCTAGTCAGCGTCACTCACACAAAGACACGAACAAGATACGAAAGACGAAATAATAATTTTCAATTCTTTTCATGATCATTATCCCCAGTTGAACAAGCGACCATAAATTTAAAAAGCCCAACTTTAAGCAAATGTACACCTAATTTGTAAGACTTCTAAGACCTACAATTTCGAGGTATCAGGTAAAGTCCGGTTGCCTTCCTGTCTTAAGTAATGAAGAAGATATTAGAATAAAGAACGAGTCTTAAATGATTACATTACTATCTATTTAAGAGGAGGTTTCAGCATTACTTGAAGTCGCCGTAATCTGCCCTAATTTTATTGTGTAGCCGCACCGCACGACTACATACCTACCAGTTACCAGTACCACCGAATACCTTACCATATACCTTCCACAATACCTTTACCAAAGTTTTAGACTTACTTCGTTTTAGAAACAAGAAACAAATTGTCTTGAAAAAGACAGTTTACGTTTTGACTCCGTTTTTAGAAACAAGAAACCAATTGTCTTGAAAAAGACAGTTTACGACTCTCTCGCATAGAAACGATAATAATCACTGCGGCAACAGCGTTATCACACCGTGCCGCGAGCGATCGCTTCGAAAGAAGCGGTTTGGTTAAGCAAGCAGCCAAGCAGCGCAAGCGGAGCCGGAGCCGGAGCACTTTCATTCGTCGTATCTTCATTGTTCATCTGTAGGTAGTCTTCAGTCTTCACTCGACGCCGGCGCTCGGAGAAATGCGCGCGCTCGCGCCGCGCGGTCATACTTATACGGAAGGAACCGATAGTGCCGTGTGCAAAGCGGCGCCCCGCACCCCGCGCGCCCCGCGCACGCCGGCGCGCCGCTATTGGTCGAAACTATCACCTAACTATATCTGATATTATCTAATTGTAAATATGTAAATAGAAATATAAGTAGCGTAATTTGGCGAATAAAATCATTCTGGTCCACACCTCTCATCGGAGTTTTACTAGTAATGGAAGAAAGGAAGAAACCTCCTCTAGGACACTAGGCTCTCCTACCTAGCTCCTAAAATTGTAATACACTATAATAAAGTTGAGATTATCCGTATTCAGAGCGTACTCTGCGACGTAAACCCTCACTACCTGATGATGGCGTCGACACTGGCCAGCTGTCTGCCCTTCCATCTAGTCACCGGCGCGCCTGTCAACGCCATGGTCAGCGCTTACGTTAACATTCCACCTTGGACAATGGTTAGTTTCTATACCTCACTACATAGATTGCTAAAATGTCTGACCAACTTCAAGAAGGTACACAAAGTTCGGGATATATTTTAATAGTCTAACTTCTTGGATCCAATAAAGGACATTAAGGATACCCTCATGCCTCTAACAACTCTAAATGACAATTGGCAGAGTAAATGCTCTTCTCGTGGGTGTCGACTAAGGGGCTACACATTGGGGCTTTCTATCAACAAGTATAAATACTTTATGGTCTTTTCTTAACCCAGGGAAAATCATCGAATGACTTCTCCCGTCTTTACTTTATGGTCTTAGATAAATGATTGGTTATGGTATTTACATCTCAGTTTTTATAATAGAGACTAAACGCCTCCCCCAATAGAGATCTATATACCGCAGTGGATTTCCTGTGGCTATGGAAATGACTCGTATAACATGGAAAAATATATTTAAAACCTTTTTTCCAGATGTACGCTGGCCTCGGTCCATCAGTTATTGCGGTGGTGGTGATCTGGTTCACAGTGGCGGTGTGGTCCACTGCGATCTGGACGGACATCACTCTCAACCCGGAGTGGGCACACGCTAACATTTTCAGATTATTGAGAAAAGGACATTAGAAATAAGATGATTATAGTTTGTTGCGGTGAAAACTTAGACTTACTTTTGTGTTAAAGTAAATGATACCTTAGTAATCTAACTTTAAGATTGCGTATACTATATTACCTTAATTAATAAGTCTGTGAATGTTACATTTTGTCTATGTAAACTATTTATAAAGATACTGTTACTGGTACACATGCTTTAAAATAGCATGCTAAAATGCGTTCTATTGAGCATGCTCAAATATGTACCAAAATCGGACGCCTATCAATCCGCAAACATGCCTGACATGAGTATGCTAATTTTGAGCAACATTTCGACACACATGCTATTAAGTGACGAGGCTTAAACTGTCAAACACCAAGCGGTCACCGGTGACCGCTACCTATTGTTCGATAATTGTGTCTACAAAACCGGTACTCGAAGAGTTAATTGAAGCATGCGTTCGTGTTTAATTTTCGCATGTGTAACAGTAACCTAAATGGTGCAAGGTCGATGTCACCTAAACATTGTTTTGTTTGAAGCAATAACTCTTGGCTAAGGACAAGAAAACCGCAAAAGAAATAAAAGATAATTTAATATATTTGCAACATATTTATTCAACAACACATTCCTTCGAACCACTATTTACAAAATGAGCGCATTACGTACATTTATATACTATATAATATACATAAGGCCATGACAACATATAGGTATATAACTACTATAATTATCATGTACCTTAGGCATCAATTTTGGTCTGTAATAGACAAAATGTCTGCTAAAATGGGTTTAAATAAAATTTGTGACAATATACAAATCACAACCAACTTATAAATAATAATTTGAAGTTTCTACAAAAAGTTTTTATAAAGAGAATTAAGATATAAAGTGGTAACATGCATTTTATAGTCAAAAGATTGTTTATTCAATTATTTTTTATAATAATATTGAATCTTGCATAGTGATGTATAATAACAAGGCCTTCAACGTATTTAGAGTACATCGGTTATATTGTACAAATTACTCACGTAACTGTTCGGAATAACTCGACGAGTTTCGAGCCACGCCAAGGACCCTTAATACAGTACAACAGTACAGTACTGATAGTGAGTAAGCCGTATAACATAGTTAATATAAAATATATCCCCAGAGTTACAAAAGACTATATAACGGTGAGTAACTATTTGGATTTAATATAAGTACACAGACATTATCCCAAAATCCTCTAATGCAGGAAAAATATCGTCTAAAGTTTTTAAGTTCTAGAATTATCTTCAGGCTATTTCTCATCAAAAATATATATTACAAATTCAGTTATAGATGAACACTTCCATTTAAAAAGTCAGTTATAATAATAATAGGGTAGATGACTAATTTTTATTTTAATGTCCGTCTGGTAGATTATTTTAAAACATTACACACGTATTTTTTATTTTTTACAGAAACGAATACTTTTGACGATATATTGATTTGAAATGTCGCGTGACGTCACTTTCATGAACATTTTATACGTAGAAATGACGTTTGATTCGTTATGTAAGTATCATTTTAGTATACAACAAAAAAAAAAATACGTGTCTAATATTTTATCATTACCTAACTGACGGACTAATTAGATTTTTAATTTTCACACCTTGTCCTCATCCCTATTAACAGAGTATTTCTTCTTTCACATTTTGACCATGATTAAGACGATATAAAAATTCCACAAACGTTAAAAATGTCAAAGAGTCAATCAAAAAAAATATTAAAAACTTTAAAGGCAGATAAGAAAAAACAATAGAAAAAATAAATCTTAAATCAATGTACGTAATTAACATTCAGACAGCTTACATGAAAGACATTTTTCTCTAACATATAATAATAATAATTATAATTATTCCTAATTTGCACTTGAACACACACTTACATAGAAATGCATCACAATTATTTTGTTATATTGTTAACAAATAAGCACTTTGTTCTTGTGGACTTTTAAGGCACCTCTGCTGTTTTTTAGCCTTTTAACGCCATATTGTCATATCTGGCAACCTAATTATGACAGTCATAAATAAGGACAAAATAACATGATAAACTACCTAATTCAGTATTGTTTTAGAGTTCATTTTTGCTCACTTTCCGTCTATATTTAATTGGATGTAGTAATACTAATTATATTTCAAAATTGAGAGACTAAATGAAGCCATTAATTATTTCGTTTCACAAAGTATTCTTAGACCTTAGTACGAGTTTCTTTTTCGTTTAAAGCAATCGAAACGAGACGGCGTCCGGCGCTCTGATTGGTTGGTTCATTGGAGCCGGCCAATCACAACGCAGAACGCGTACTCGTTACGATTACTTTAAACTCGTACTAACGCCTCTTCTCTATAAGAATTTACATTTTGGAACGAACATATAACGTTACTGATGAATCAACAGACGGACAATTAAGTTTTTACGGTACAAAATGTATGTAGAAATTGAAATAAAATTCGTTGCATTTAGTGACTTAATTTCAGAGTTACCTGTTAGTTACATGTTTATATTCGGGTGTTAAAAAGGCTAAGGGAGCTTTCATAGTGGAATATTTTACAATAAAAATAAATAATTATTCTCCCAGCCAAGGTTTTATTCAGTCCAGATATCACACAAACACACAAACTTACACCCACACACAAACACACACACGTCACAATATATTACATTACAACTAGGAACATCCCTACATCTGGTTTTTTAATATTTTTATTATATACCTTCACATAGACGTTTTATATATTATTATAAAATATATTTTGCGGCTATCACACTCTTTTGGTAAAATAGTGTTAGAAGAACTGCTTTATATAAGGCTGTATTCAATTTAAATTGTTGAGATTCTTAAAAAGCTATGTATAAAAACATGAGATTCTATGTCCGTAGTCTTTAAGGTTGATTTTTTAATAACCCGATGTAAATTGGAAGTTACAAAATTAACAACATATTTTTTGAACTGTATTATTATCAAATAAGTTATTAAATATTTGACAATGAACATTAATTAGGCTTACAGGGCCTTAATGCTACAAAAACACCACCTGGTGAGTATAAAACCTTATTTGGTAATTAAAAAATCAGCCCTTGAAAACAATCACTACAAAACTGACTACATATTATAAAATGTAGCTTCAAAAACATCAATATATAATTGAGAATCAAATATCCATCCATTTTTATACAACTTGCCAATCAAATATCGTCTTTATAACATAGACGGTTAACTCTTAAAATCCTAAAGCAGTTCTTTATAAATACGGGAGTGTGAAAGTCATTTCTATATAATCCTCACCCGCTTTATTCCGTTATATAATATATAATATAACTTACATATAATCATATATTACATCTAAGCATATTATTGTCCCAGTAAGTTGGTCTGTATAGGCACCAGGTTTTGGCCAAATTACCATATATTAAGATTTAAAATTGGACATAATATATATATTTAAGGACTGCCCGGTTGGCGCAGTGGTTGGGTAACTGGCTGCCGCGCAACATGTCGCGGTTTCGATTCCCGCACGGAACAACTCTTTGCGTGGTCCACAGATTGTTGTTCCGAGTCTGGGTGTCATGTGTATGTGAACTTGTATGTTTGTAAACGCACCCACGACACAGGAGAAAATCCTAGTGTGGGGAAATGTTGAAAAAAAAAATTTACAGGGATAAATAGACCTGGTTTTGAAACCTACCAACGGCAAGTACCAATCTGACTTTTTCCGAGTTATATGTACTGCCTAAGACAATTTAAACGGTGAATAAAAACATCGTGAGAAAAGCTGGATTTATAATTTCAATTATAAGTTTGAAATCGCCAAGCAAATTGAGCAAGCTTGGTGCTCAAACGCTCAAACCTTCTCTGTGCGAGAAGAGGCCTCTTGTCAGCAGAGGCTACTTATAGATAAATGATCTTGATGTTGTTGTAAAAAAGAACCTAATGATATTCCAAACTGCAGGCGATTTTCAACCTTATGTGATCAAAATTGAATTGATTTTACTGTGTCATTGTCTTGTCTATAAATATTATGTCCAATTTTAAGTCTATATTTGTATGTTATATCTCTTTATGTATATATTTTGGCAATGCACATAGTCGGTGGGGCGACTGTCATACTCCACATACATACATAAATGCTGTATTAATAAATTATCATATAAAAATGCTTTTATACTGTAGAAAATACGAAAATATGTTATTTATTACTTATTCACAAAGCCGCTAAACAATGGTGTAGTGTAAATAGCACCTTTTTGTCGTAAGCTTAAGGCCGTATTTTAATAATTCAATTTTCATCAATCAATCTTTATATGATTGCAAAAAAAATACTAAACAAATTCCACCATCAATAATTTTAAGTACCAAATGAGAATCAGAACTTAGCGACTTTGTCCTTCCACGGATTTAAATACCATTAGGTTGGCAACATTGAATTGCGCACAGATAATAAAGGCGAACCGACCACAGAGATAGGGTCTTTAAAAAAATATCTATTCCACATTGAGATTGCATAACATAACATAGAGGGGTAGACAAAGGCGCACAATGCATTTGTTTTACGTTTAACGAGATCAATTGAGACCGCGTTCGGCACTGATTGGCCGGCTCCAATGAACCGACCAATCAGAGACCCTAAGCCCTCTGTTATGTTACAAGTCCCATATACGAGATTGCATTACAAAAATAAAACTTAATTTACTTCAAAAAATGGTACACAATGGCACATACCTGTACATATTTCAGATATTCCTTGATCTATGGAAATGCTAGCATATAGCTTTAACCCATCACATGTAAACCGTAAAATTAGTTAATTTAATTTAACTCTTTAAAGGGAGATAGTTACAAGAGACGGAGCCGGTCATGTTGAGGCTTGGGAGGTTGGGTAAGGAACAATTGAAGTTTGTTAGAGTTTGTATGGCATTGTATGAAGTGTTGCAGGCTAGGGTGACGTTATTAGCTAGGGCTGTGGTCGCGTTTTGTACAGGAGCGGTTGAAAGTGTAAGGGCTGGGAAGATCACTGCTCCCCATGTTGGGTAGGCGCCCCATACGATGAGCGTTGTTATGATCTTCGGGCCTATGCCGCCGACGGCCTGGAAAAGAGAGATTACATTCGGATTTTAAGTTTTACGGACAACAATGATTAATTGATAATTAAATTGACTAGAAAGAAATCATGAGTACAAATGCGAGTCACTTAAAACTTTGAAGAATATAGCAAAACGAATGAATTAAAATTAGTTAATGGCAGACTATGGTCATAAAGAACGAAGCATAACTTTTCTTTCTTTCTTTAGGCTTTAAGAACTTTTTTCTTTAGGTAAAAAGACAACAAAGATAACATATGATAACATCACGTCTTTATCCCCGAAGGGGTAGACAGCACACCCACTTTTCACTATTTATGTTATAAGTCCCATGTAATAGGGGGTGAGCCTATTGCCATATACCGGGCAAAATTTCAGACTCCGTGCTACTACTGTGAATTTTTTTAAAAACCCAGTATTACTTTGCCTGACCCGGGAATCGAACCGGCAGGTAAAAAGACATGAATTATTAATTAAGGATGTAAGTAAATAATTATGTTTGACGGTCTATCTATTGCGCTGTGTCGTCGTAACACCTAAACAATGGAATTGAACCCATTTGCAACAAATAATTTTTCACTATGTTTACCTTCCTTGCAAATAAATTAATTTAAAAACTGTACTCACCATCTTAGAGGTAGGTATATGTGCGACTCCAGCGACGATGGCGTTTGGTGGAGTTCCTACTGGCATGTGGAAGGCCATGGAACACGCCAATGTTGCAGGGACCATCAGGTAACGAGGGTCGATGTTGAGGACGCGAGCCTGGGGAGAGAAGAGTTCTTATTTAGACGTGGTTTAAACAATTTTATTTTATTTTTTTTCTCTTTATTAAAATACAATAAGAGTCTTTAAATCTAAGCGAATTATGCCAGACTTATCGTGACCATGAGTTATTGGAGTCGGTTTAAACTATTATAAATGAATCAATGGAATTTTGTTGTTTATTTTTTTTTTGGTGTATGTATTTTATTGCTTGTTATCTTGTATACAAATGTATGGAATAAAACTTGGGGACCTGGGCGCTTACTCTTGAAACCAATATCAATGCAATTTCAATCCAATAAAGTCTCAATAATTACTCAATGTCACCCCAATCGTAGCTGTTAAAATAGCATTCCGAGTACGAAATATAAAGCCAAACTCAACACCATTTAGTTCGTTAAATATCCACGCAATATGGAAGTAATGGGTTGCAACTCGAGAGTAAGTACGAAATTTCACAATTTAAACAGTACACTACGTGCTAAAATTTACTGATATTAGACCAACGGCTACTGGCTGTTAGGCTCGGAATTTTCAAGGCAAAAACTTTAAACTTTCCAAAAAACCAACACTTATGAGTTTATCAAACAGTTTTAAAAAACATAACATAACATAACGTCACGCCTTTTTATCCCCGAAGGGGTAGGCAGAGGTGCACATTACGGCACTTAATGCCACTGTACAATGTAACACCCACTTTTTACTATTTATGTTACGAGTCCCATGTAATAGGGAGTGAGCCTATTGCCATATACCGGGCACATTTCCAGACTCCGTGCTACTACTAAGAATTTTTTTAAAACCCAGTAATACTTTGCCCGACCCGGGAATCGAACCCGAGACCCCTTGCCCGGCAGTCGCACTTGTAACCACTCGGCCAACGAGGCAGTCACTCGGCCAACGAGGCAGTCAGTTTTAAAAAACACTTACCATATTAGCCAAGACAGGCAGTATAAGATTAGCAATAGCGACATTGGAGGTGAACTCAGTGATGAATTGTGTGACTAACACGACGACCAGTAGTACCACGGCGTGGTTCAGTCCGTGCAGACCTTCCAGCGAGGAGCCTATCATTGCTGACAGACCGGTCGCCTTGCTGCCTTCTGCTAGAGCGAATCCACCACCTAGAAAGTAAAGTGTTAATTTAATATATCTGCAGTCATTTCTTGTGTTTAACCCCTTGACTAAATTAAGACAATAGAAAATACATTGCGTCGCGCATGGATCCCCGTTTAGACACAAAAATTGCTATAACTTCCTAATTTTGATACTATATCTATACATATAATAAAATCATAGAAAAGTCAAAACTGTACATTGAATACTTTTTAAGAAGAATATTTGAGGCGTGATCTACAATCGATACCGAAGCCAAAAATATGTTTTTTAGAACTTATGTCTGTTTGTCTGTATGTATGTCCGGGATGATCTCCAAAAGTACTGCGTGGATTTACTTCAAATTTTGCATGAATATTACTAACAGGTCGGGTCAACATATAGGCTACATATTATCACGCTATCATCTACGGGGGAGGAGCTGTGATTAACAATTCTACGCGAACGAAGTCGCGGGCAACAGCTAATACATATTATACGGGTATATTCGATAGAATTAATATTCTGTCTTCTAGGTGAAGCGACTCAAAAATGATTCATGCCAATAAAATTAGCAGTTAGCTTGGTGTACTACTGAGTCACATAGGCTACTTTTATTTTGGAAAATTGAAACAAAAAAAAGTTATATCCTATAATTTATATTCTACGCGGGCGAATGCAAGTGTTACCGCCACGTTGAACGCCATGGGGGTCACCGGCGACAGACGTTAGCGGAGGATTTGCCTACTACAGTTTTCTATTGGCAGTCAAAGGCTTAAAATAATACTTCACTTACCAAGCAAGAAGAGAAGTCCCCACGGGATCTTTTCCTTCAGGATGTTCCAGGTCACAATACTAGGGGAAGGCTTAGATGCTGCCAATTCTTCGTCTGAAATAGTATACATTATATTATTATTATTGTAATAAATGGTTTTCCTTTCTTTCTTATATCTAGTTTGTTGAACTAATTTTGGGTACTTTTCTTAATCAAAAATTAATTATTTCGACTGTTCAATACAATAAAATATTAAACTGTCAAACACCAAGCGGTCACCGGTGACCGCAACCTATTGTTCTATAATTGTGTCTACAAAACCGGTACTCGACGAGTTAATAACACAATTTCATTAATTGATTTTATAACCAACTTAATTTTTGTTTTTTCCAGTTAATTTTTAAGAAATTAATACGCTGTTTAACGCAAAAAAAGGAATTCGACTAATTGTCAAATATCGTATTTTCATCGACATGAGTTTAATTTCATCATTACATTATCAAACCTAGAATAAGTGTCATTGTGAGGAGAAATAAAGAAAATGTATTATTATTCACAGTAGTAGCACTGAGTCTAGAATTGTGCCCGGAATATGGCGCAATAGGCTCACCCCATATTACATGGGACTCATAACATAAATAGTGAAAAGTGGGTGTAAAATGTAACACCCACTTTTAAAAATAATAAAAGGCGTGAAACTAATGTTAAAGTACTTACAAGAGGAGGAGCTGGAGAAGAACTTGAGGAAGTCGCAGCACATCGGCAGGATGAACATCAACACCACGATGAAGATTGAGGTCACACCGTCTTTAACTTTCCTGTAACGTAATACAAATATGTTTCATAATGGTTAAATCTTGATCTAGATGAATCAAAGCAATAGGGATGACGACAGGGTATGAACATTAAAAATCTACTTAGTCCGTCAGTTAGGTAATGAAAAAAATATTAGATACGTATTTTTTAATTTTATCGTATAAGAATACAATACATAGATAAAACAAAACAGGAGTTCAGGAGTGGGAGGTAGCTATGTCATTTTAGAGTATAAATCGTACTCAAAAGTGACGCCATGCGATATTTCAAACCAATATATTATTATCTTCGAAAACATTCGTTTTCTTAAGAAAATAAAAAATACGTGTCTAATATTTTTAAATAATCTACCAGACGGACATTAAAATAAAAATTAGTCATCTACCTCTATATTGACTTAATAACCTTCCCCGGTTCTATATTGCCCTTAACCGACTAGCATAAAAAGACTGATAACTATTGGCGAAGCGAAAGATTTATGTAAGAATCGTCGAAAGTGGCGTTCCGTAGTCTGACCCCCATGGGAGACAGGCGTGAGAAATTTTAATCTTTATATTTATTAAATAAATTATTTAATTGGAATATTTATTCAACTTTATCATCAATATAATATCTCTATTTTGGTTCCAATTAATTGGTGATTTAATAAAATAAATATAAATTACTGTCGCCAACGGAAAGCACCAGTTATATGCTGTACCATTTTCCAGAACAGTCAGAAGAGCTAAATCCCCGTTACCACGCACGATGAAACTTTTAAACCGATTCTTGGATTCAACGCCAGAGTGTGACGTGTTTTCGAGTGAAAGAAGATTATTTTTGTCGGAATGCTTGAAGTTTCGCGAAAGAAATGAATGAAGTATAGTATCGAATAATGATTAAGTTTTTTAAATGTATTATTTCCTTCAGTTGTCTATGTATTGAGTAGTGTAATTGGTTTTTTGTACCGTTCTTTTCGTATAAATAAATAGAATAAAGTTAGAATCTAAAAAGTGTAATTCCCGCTATGGGACTGCTAGTGTATCACAATAATAGAATGTATAGAGGTCTTACATGTTAGTGAGGAGCTCAGCCCAGCCAGGCATGAATCCAGGGCGACGGAAGATGTACAGGAACACTGCCAGGATGAACAGGAGACCTGAAGCCTGCAGGGAACATAAGAAACCGTTTACCAAGTGTAATGATAATAGCAGACTTACGCCTTAATGCTAAAAGGCTACTTAATTTAAAGTCACTACAAATTCTTAGTAAAATGACAGAAATATATGTATTATAACTTTCGTGAGACATACTAAATTAATTATAATATTTTCGGCTTACTCACGTAATTATTTGACGAGGAACTCGACTAGTTTCAAGCCATGCTAAAGGCTCATATTCATGAGCAGCATTATATAGCCTTTCAGTATTTATGTGTTAATGATCTTTAAATACGTTGATATATTTTAGTTAGTTCATTCTCCGTACCTTATTTTACGCAGATTTTCTACTTAAACCCTAAGATTGACTGGTAGAGAATGCCATATAGGGTTTTTTTTATATCAATGCATATGACAGTAAGTTCCCCTGATGTGCCATTGTGTAATCAATTTGTGTACATTAAAGACTAAATAAATAAAGTGCACGAAGCGCTTCGCATCAAGTTTCCTTGTGCATACTGCTAAAGAGTGGAATTCTTTGCCAGAGTCTGTATTTCCTGAAGGGTATACAGGCGAGATAGTGGTGAAACGTCGGCCCATCAAACATAAATAAAATAAAATGAATAAAATGTATCGTACCGAAAATCCCCAAAATTTTTTCATACAAAAGTAGTCTCTAAACATTGCAAATAAGGTCTATAATGGAGTTAGTGGAGAACGGTCACCGGTGACCACTAGGGGATTGAACAGTTAAATGTACATTTTTAATAATGTATTTTGCATTAAGTAGAGAAAACCTTTAGGCGAATTTATTGTTGTACTAACCTTCTCATGGAAAGTGATGGGTCCGAGGTTCCTGTACTGCTCCTTGATGACCTTCATCGTGGTCTCCGAGCCTGAGGATGCCTTGTTCACCCTCCTCGCTGCTTCGCTGTTAGGCCTGTGTGTGGAAGGTATAAATTTATCATTAGACATTTTGTATTTGTAAAGCATTTTAGACTCTATAACATCACGCCTTTTATCCCTGAAGGATTATTAATTTTTTCTTTTTAAGGGGGGAAAATCATCGAATTATAGGCGAACGATCGAGGGGTAGGCAGATTTGCACATTGCGGCACTTAATGCCACTGCACAATATACCCTCCATTTTTCTCTAATTCTTTTATGAGTCCCATATAATAGGGGGTGAGTCTATTGCCATATACCCGGCACAATTCCAAACTCCGTGCTACTACCGAGAATTTTTTTAAAAACTCATTAGTACTTTGTCCGACTCGGGAATCGAACCCGAGACCCCTTACCCGGCAATCGCACTTGCGACCACTCGGACAACGAGGCAGCAGTTCCCTTCATTGGAAGTTTGTAAAACATTATTTAAACTGTCAAACACCAAGCGGTCACCGGTGACCGCAACCTATTGTTCTGTAATTGTGTCTACAAAACCGGTACTCGACGAGTTAATTAGATTTTCTCCGTTATGCTGTACATACCGCAATTTAATACATTACGAAGTTTTAATAATAAATTCCTTATTACAACAAATTATATGCCAACCTGAACATCCCCATAAACGTGATCTGCAGCGCGAACCAGACGAGCAGCTGCATGATGAGCATGGGGGGCGTGCTGTAGGCCATGAACCAGAAGAAGTCCACCGAATTCGAGTACTCGGGGAACTCGCTGTTATAGAGAAAAATACATTTTTATATCTTATTGCTATCAGTTTTAGGGGTTATTATTGTTTGAACTTGCGAGATTGAAGTTACGTTTGTTATTACAAAGATGGTACCTAGTAAGTGTGACAATCTCACTATTTATTCATTCATTAGTTTCATGAAATGTAATTATGTACGACTAGCAGTCCGTCCCGGCTTCGCACGGGGTAGAAAATTTTTTTTTTTTCAAAATGAAATGTAGCCTATGTTACTCGGGGATAATGTAGCTTTCCAGAGGTGAAAGAATTTTTGAAATCGGTCCAGTAGTTTCGGAGCCTATTCATTACAAACAAACAAATCTTTCCTCTTTATAATATATAAGTATAGATTAACATTTTTATAGCTATTGAATAGAACTAATTCACTTTATTAAAGTTTTATTATGAAAACACTTAGAATCGACTTCATGTCAACTTTTTTACAAGCAGTATGTATGCAGACATGTTTAAACCATTATAAAGCAGTCAAAATTGAGTTACCAATGTTTACCTATACATATAATAAAATAGTAGAAAAGTCAAAACTGCACATTAAATATTTGTTAATAAGAATATTTGAGGCGTGATCTACAGTCGATACCGAAGCCAAAAACATGGTTTTTAGAACAATTGTCTGTTTGTCTGTATGTATGTCCGGGATGATCTCCAAAAATACTGCGTGGATTTACTTCAAATTTTGCACGAATATTACTAACAAGTCGGGTCAGCATATAGGCTACATATTATCACGATATCATCTACGGGGGAGGAGCTGTGAACCACAATTCAAGCAACAGCTAGTTCTTGAGTAAAATAGTACTTACGAATCAAATATTCCTTTGAAGGCGGAGTTGGTGGCAGTACCGACGAGGGTGCCGCAGCCTCCGAGCGTGGACGCGTACGCTATGCTCAGGTAGTAGCAGATTGTTATGTCACTTGGCATTGGGGCCCTGAAGAAAGATATATTGTGTGATTATCTATGGTTTCAGGATTGGCAAAGATGAGATGAATATATTTAAGTGTGGGAGAGCCATGCTTCGGCAAGAATGTGCCGGCCCGACCGGAGTGATACCACGGCCTCACAGAAAACCGACGTGAAGCAACGCTTGCGTTGTGTTTCGTCGTGTGAGTGAGGTTACCTGGAGGCCCAATTACCCTCCCCTTCCCCAATTTCCCCAATCTCTGAATCCCCAACGATCCTCAAACTCCTAATCCCCAAAAGGCCGGTAACGCACTTGTACCGCCTCTGGTGTTCCAGGTGTCCATGGGTGACGCCGATTGCTTACCATCAGGTGATCCGTATGCTCGTGTACCGACTTATGCCATAAAAATGTCAGCTAAAGAACCCAGAGCGGTATTGATTAAACTTTTATTTTGTGTTTTTTCAGTGCCTATGCAATAGATCAATGCAACTGGGTAGAAATATTGAAATTCATATAAAATTTGAATAAATAAGCTTGTAGCAATCCATTCTCACGCCATAATTATAAATTGTAATGATTCAGCTATGCTGTAATGTTACGTAGTAATGATTTTAAATAATGTGCTTACTCTTCCTCTCCAGTTTTGGCGACTGCCTTAGTCTCCTTGCCATTTTCCGCTGGCGGGTTCTTCTTCTTGTTTACATACACATCGCCTAGTCCTTGCTGTAGAAAAATGTAAATGGTTTAAGATCAGTTTCTTAGTATATACATATTAATTGACTTCTTATAAAAGAAGAAAGTTCAATTGGTTTGTAATGGTTTTTTAGCATCTCTTTTGATACAAATTCGTTATTAAGGAATAGTTTAAGTAATCATTAAATGTCTTAAAGTACGGCAACTAATAAAATGAGTGGCCTCACTAATATGTAAAGCGAAATATCTGAATTTTTACCTGTTCCAACACTTCTAATATGGCTTCAACGATGGGCACCATCATAGTGGTGGCGGCAGCATTCGATACCCACATCGATATGAACATGGTCACGAATGTTAGACCGAAGTTCAACCTGGAAAGACATTGGCATTTAGCATACAACATTTACGTATGTGTCACAGTGTGGTGAAGACAGAGAAGAGAGTATTTTGTCCACCACCCCTCCCCTCGAGTGCCGTACGAGTTATTACGAATTTCACAGAGCATTTGCAGGCGGCACACGTTAACCGCTATGCTTAGGAAAGGATTTGTCTTCGACAGTTGTCTGTCGACAGTCAAAGGCTAGGGTTTTGAGCTAAGTGGACTGTTAAGGCCTGTTCTCGTCCCGAGCGTACGGCGCGTCGCATTCCGCGCGCGCCTCTAAGAGCCATCAGACCACCACGAGAACGAGAACTTAACGGGTTACCGGGGCTCCGACTCTGGCTCGAAGTAGGAACAGGAGTAGGAACGGGGAGGTTTTTAGTCAGTAAGAGTCTGACACTCCCTCCCGGCTCACCCAAGCGGGAGAAGTCATTCGATGACTTTCCCCCCTTAAAAAAAAGGCCTGTTCTCGTCACCCTAGTCACTGGTGCCACCGAGTAAGCACGACATTGACAAAAAGACACAAAAAGCCATAAAAAGTAAATAAACACAATACAAACCTTCTATGCGAACACCCAACCACTTGTACGGTCCACAACGCAACTCTCTTTGGTAACTTAGAATGCTGTACTCCAGCGGCTATCATCAGACCTCCCATAAACATCATATTAGTCTCCTTCATGTATGCTGCACAGGTTTTGTCCGAGTCTAGAATGCCCATCGTTGGGAACAGCACTATGGGCAACATGGAGGTTACAGGCAATGGGAGTAGCTCCAACACCCAGTATATTGCCATTATTAGGACTACATACATGCATCTGTAAGCCTGGAAAAAGAGAAAAGTTATAATTAATTAAAATGGACAAGCTGTAGAGAGAATCAGTACATGGAATATTACAATGATTAGATTAGAGCTTAACTAAAAATCGCCGGTTACTAACGTGAATATACTGAAAAAAGCTCTACTAGTTCTACAGACGCTAGCCAGTAGGCTGCGCGACATCACCGCGACCGCGCACGCTGCTCATGAGGAAGATACCCTCTGTGGCTCGAAACTAGTAGAGCGTTTCCCAGTATATTCACGTTAGTAACCCGCGATTTTTAGTTAATTTAGTATGTCTCATGATAGTTATTACATAAACATAGATTAGGGCTGGTTCAACTGAGGAGGTACTGCCATTTCACAGAATACGAGTGTGAAGTGGTGACGTAATGTTACTGCGTTTTGACTGGTAAGTGTGAGTTCTAGTTCTAGATGACTAAACCGAACCATTGATTATAGTTAAACAGTGGTTTGAGTTGGCCATCACTTTTAGGAAGCCAAGGGAGGAGATCACTCCCCTACACCCAAGGATACTCCTCTCTTGGCTTCCGTACGCCATCGGCGCTCTGATTGGCCAGCTTTAATGAACCAACCAATCAGTTTGCCGAATGTGGTCTCGTTCCAATTACTTTTAACGTAAATCAAACTTGTACTAAGGCTTCTGAAATGATGGTGTAAATCAATACTTTCTAACATGATCCTCAAGTCCTCAGAATAATTCTAGTGCCTCTAGTGTTGGAAATGTTCTTAGACTACGGTAAATGCATACCATCAGAAGGCCCATAAGTTTTATTGCATTAAAATGAAACCCGTTTCCCGTTGTCACACACCATAACTTGAGAACGGCTAGACCGATTTGGCTGATTTTTTTTTTGTTGTTGTCAGGGGAAGGTCCTTATGACAGAAATAAATCCTACGGGAACGGGAGAAAACGGGATTGTGCGTACTAAGTCGCGGGCAGAAGCTATAGTAAGCAATAAAATTGGTAATAATACCAGTAAGTACCTAGTATTAAATAATATCCAAGCTCATACTTACAGGTGCAGAGTTCAATATAGGTATAGGCAGTAACACTAGTGGGGTAAGCACAACGATAAGTGCCTTCCAGTAGATGGACACAAACAGACTCAGTCTCTGCCATAGTGTGGCACTCGAACCAGTCTTTGGGAAGTAATATGTTGTTGCCCTGGAAAAATAAAAAAAAATTGTTGAAAATATTCTGATCAAATAGTATCAGGTTTGTCTATCACATGCTATGCTGAACTACTTCTTGGACATTATAATAATGTTTTTTTTTATATCTGAAGACACACTTAAGTATAGTTTTCTCACTACAAATACTTAGGAAAATGACAAACATGACACAATATTTAAGTACTACAACTTAATTTTTTTTTTATAAATTAGTAAAAAAAAATTGTTTTTCAGTATTCGGGCGTAAGCAAGGCAATCTACATGTTAACTTCTAAGTTCGCTATTTGAACATTGTGTCATGTTTATTTTATTTTTTTACTCTGTAATTAACTATTTTCATAAATAAAATAAGTTTTACACTTAAGAGCCAAAATAGAAAGTTAAGATTTGAAAATTTGAGTTGTTAAAAATTTGAATAAATTTAGATTTCTGTAAGTAGAAGCAATTTGCAGCTAACTACTAATTTTATTATCGCGTCGTGTTCCGTGTATGTAGGTAACGAGGTGGCCCTCGCGATTCTTCGATTACTTACTAGATTAATATAGCCCTTGTAATAGATATTTTATTCTAATATAGACTTACCTTTCATCAGGCGCTCCGTTTTCTACTACCGCATTCGACATGATTATTTATTCTTTTGTAAATCTCTCCAAAATATTACAAAATATAATTAGGGTTTCACAATTTCCACATTATTGGCACCATCTGTAAACAAAAGAGACGTTTGATCGATTTATTGAATTTACAAAACACTATTAAATCGATATTTCAGCTATAAACTTTATAGAAGTTGAAATTACCCGCTAAAATCGTTCAAAATTTCAAACAAGTCATGACGTGATTATTTTATCAACGCGCTATAATCTTCAATCAACGCCAATTGACAACTAATGAGTCGCTTGTGTCGTCATCGCATCTGCCTACTTGACATTTCGAATCGATTCGTACTAACTAAACGCAATTTCATCATTAATAGTACTCTCCTTTGCAATTAAGCGTTTATTTGTTTATATTTTACTAAAACATAATACAACTTTGCACCATTTTATTATCATATCTATAAAGCTTGAGCTGAAAGCTGGAACAGCCTTGTTATTAAAATGTTCCCAGCAAAACTAAACGATACTTTGACGGTTAGACAATGTTACGAAAAACAATGTCAATGAGAAAATCTACTGTCAATGTCATTAAAAACCAAAACAATTGTGTTTACTTATTAGAATATTATTTCTGTTTTTCATAGTAAATAAGATAATAATTTGGGTGTATATTAAAGTTCTGTAGATTTGGATGTTACTTTACTACTTATAGTGACTAAAATGGCGAAGAACCAGACTAAGAGCGAGCCAGAAGGTAAGTTTTCCGATATGTGTTAATTTTCGTATTTTGAGGTACCTATTTATTTATTAAATACACTAATTATTAAAGTATTTGGTCATCAGATACTAAAATACTACCGCTCCACATAGTAATTTGTATTATTTTCGTTTTTTGCTAGTTTTATATCGATCTATCAATTTGAGGTTAGAATTTATGATAAGTGTCTTTATCTTGATAATTCTGACTTAATAGTGTATTATTTAGTACATATGAAGATACTGGCTTTAATAAAGTACCTAATCTTCGTTAAAACAAACCTTTAACAATAACTATAATACAAGGTTGATTGATCGTAATTATAATAATAATTTTGGTCAATCTATTATTGTCTTCCACATCTTGTATTCTTCATAACATTTGAACCTGTTGAAATATCATCCCCTAAATTTGTTCATACAAAAGTAGTCTCTAAACTTCCTAAATAAGGTCTATAATGTAGTTAGTGAAGAACAGTCACCGGTGACGGCTTGGAAAGAACCTTTGAATTCGATTGTTGAAAACTATCGTAATATGACATATTCCATAACCAATTCCAAAAACCTTTGAACCGAATATGCATATTGTATTATAATTTAAAGTTATTTGCAAATTGATTAAATATTTATATATAGATGTGTGTAAAACATAATAAAAACTTTCAAAATTGTATATATTGCATGTCAATTGATTAGGAATATAGAAATATATCTAACTAATGTTATCATGTGATTATAGAAATATAGCAAACACCTATGTTGGTGTCGGTTTCTGTTCTAGAACTCTAGTATATTGTAGGTTACTGCACAGAGATGATATTGATGGTTGAAAGGGTAATTGATCTAAGCATCAATTTTTGTGATATTGTTAAATACCTAGACCATGATGAAGGAAAATTCACTAATTTCGAACATGACATATTTAACTCATACATACATACACACATACATAACTTCACGCCTGTCTCCCTTGGGGGTAGGCAGAGACTATGGAACTTAATGGAACGCCAAGTATTTAACTTAATATTGCAAAAAATGACACTTAGGTCAATTAGTCTTTCAACCATCAATACGTAATATGGATGAGCAATTGAGCAATTAGCTATATTTTTTGCTGTAGGTTAATATATCCTCTCTGTATTGTAGACATCTGCACAGAGATTTAATTGTTTTTTAATTTATATAATTCTAGAAGTAATTTAATGTTTCCTGTATTTTAGAATAACATCCAAGTATGGACTAACTAACTTTATAGTTCAATAATAGAATATTACTAGAATTAGATTAAAACAATATTATAATTATATAGTTTCTATTCCCTACGCATATTATGATAAGCAAAACTTTGTACCATCAACAATAATATTTACATAATCATTGATAAGTTAATTATTGACGTTTACAGGACCTGTTGTGTTGTGTTGTGTTCCACTGATGTGCTTCTTGACGTAGTTTGAAACATGTTTTTTAGACAAACATATTACTAAGTTTTTATACTGAGTGAAGTTGAGTGGAACATGAAAACTATTTGTTTGTCATCGTTTTGCACAGTGGATCAAGTGTTTAGTTTTGTTATTAGTAGTTCCTATTGCGAGGATCAAATTTATTACAAAATGCTGAACTTAATTCCATATTATATCTATAGATATAACCTTAATAAAAAAAACAATTTATCTATGAGAAAAAGCAAAACATGCACTTGTAAATAACTGATCATATCTTATCTATTTAAAGTTTACTTTTAACAAACTGATATATTGCATTGATAGTCAGACTAATTTTTTTTTAATTCATTAATTCCTGCATGAAAGGGGCCACACTACAATAGTATCTTCATTAGATATAAACTACTATTACCTCATTTATTTACATTCAAAATACTTAAATACCTTTTTGACCATATTAAATACTTCGGTTAACCACATCTTGCAAGTGATTCATTAGCGGACAGGGAAATCGTAATAATGAAACATGTTCCTTAAACATCACTACATAGTGTAAAACAAAGTCGCTATCAGCCGTCTGTCTGTCCCTATGTATGCTTAGATCTTTATAACTACGCAACGGATTTTGATGCGGTTTTTTTAATAGGTAGAGTGATTCTTAAGAAAGGTTTATAAGTATAATACATGCATATTGCACCCGTGCGAAGCCGGGGCGGGTCGCTAGTAGTTAATATAGGAAATTGTTACATGGTGTAGAAGTAAATATTCTCTATACTTATCTAAACATAATTTAAAGGTAGAGACAATGCTATGTAACTGAGTACTATTCCGCAATAGGATATATGGAAAGTTACATCTCTCTACCTTTATTAACGAATGAATGTGCATGACTTGCAGTCCTCTCTATCTAAGAATGAAGTCACAAAAATGTAAAGTCATCAAAGAATCCTTTTAAGGAATATGTTTAATGCATGAATGTGATGGAAGCTAAAGAGGTAGGTGTGTGAAGATCTTAGAGTTAGTAAATAGTTGATGGCACTATGTATTTTACCATATAAGTGTGGTAGAATCATGCTTCGGGACGAAAGGGCCAGCTCAAGTGGAGTAATACCACTGCCTCACAGAAAACTGACCTAAAAACGCTTGTATTGTGTTTCATCGTGTGAGTGAGGTTACTGGAGCCCAATTACCTTACCCTGTCCCCAATCTCCCCAATCCCTCAATCCCCAACTATCCTCAAATTCCTAATAGGCCGGTAACGTACTTGTAACACCTCTGGTGTTCCGAGTGTCCATGGGCGACGCCTATTCCTTACCATCAGGTGATTCGTCTGCTTGTTTACAGACTTATCCCAAAAAATACACTCATTTTATAGTAAAAAATGTATAAGAAGGTCAGGAGTATTGTAGTAAGGAGATACTTTATGTATCATCATTATCAAATCATGTTTTGCTACCATTTAATTTGAAGTAATGACGGTAGCTCATAAAATACTTTTTTTTTTTTTTTTTTTTTTTTTTTGGGGGGAAAATCATCGAATGACTGCCCCCGCCTGGGTGAGGCGGGAGGGTCAGACTCTTACTGACTAAAAAGCACCCCGTTCCTTCTCCTGCACGTCGAGCCGGAGCCCCGGTTACCCGTTAGGTTCTCCGCGACTCCGAATCGGCATCGGCCCTATTGGGCCCCATCTGTGGTGGTCTGATGGCTCTTTGAGGCGCGCGCGGAACGCGACGCGCCGTACGCTCGGGTCTGTTTCTGGTCGGACGGGGAGCCACCCATGCTCGCCGTCCGCAGGCCCGCGCTTACGGTGGCCGGAGATCGTCCCGCGATCCCCGACGCCCGGTGTGTCCTTCGCGATGGCTGGGTTGCGAGGAGGCAGCGCTTCGCTGCCTCACGCGTCCCGCCTCCTCCTTAGCTAGCATGACTGCTTCGCAAAAGGAGGAGACGGCATCCCAATCCCCCTCGCTCCGCATCATGGCCTGCACTAGAGCTCATAAAATACTAGTTTAAGTTAGAAACCCTATGTTCTTTTCATGAAGTTTCTTAACGTTTTTCCATAAAGTTCCGTCTCGAAGACAATGTAGAATTTGTCGCCAAAAGCGTTCTACGTCTTCGTCTATTTTAACACAGTCCAGTCACTGGGGCAGTCCTGTGTATTTATAAATACTATCCGCGACAGTACAAAGTCTGAGAAATTATATTTTGTCGCAGTCTCATAAGTCACACCTGTTATTCCTTTTTATAGGAAGTACATTCATCATCTTCAGCCTGTAACTCTCTACTCTACTGCTATACTAGTACTACAGGGCCTTCTTTAGATACATAAGAAGGTTTGCAATAATCTCCCCTCGATAATTTCCTTAGATAGGTATTTTTTATTTTTATTTTTCCCTTAATCTTACTGGAACTGCCAAGCCATGAGCCATGAATGTTGTAAGCCAAGTGATGCAACAAGATTTACCGAAATGGAAAAATTCTAACATTTTTCCGAGCTTAGAAGCTATGCCTCATGCTATGCGGTTTCGTTTCGTTCTTTGTAATTTTCACAAAGTAAACATACTTATTCACTCTTTCGCGATAACAAAAGCTAAATGTCGTCACAGACTAGGAAGCTTCATCAATTTTGATTCAGCTGTCTTCATCAACATTTATTAGGACACTTATTGTGCTCCAAATTTCATTGTTCTTCATCGTATGAATGACGTCAGGATTTTATTGCTTTTTATTTTAGATGTGGCATTGATCTTGTGATCTTGGCGAAACAGCGTCAATGTGTTTACTCTCATTCACGATGATTTTAGAGGATTCCGTACTCTGAGTTTATATTGGCAATCTTCAGGCAATGACAATTGGTGTCAGGGTGTGAAAATTAAAAATATAATTAGTCTGTAAGTTAGGTAATGAAAAAATACGTATTTTTTTATTTTGTCGTTTATAAAACAATACTTAGATAATTACGAATCAAAGTTTAGGAGTGGGGGCTAAAAAGTCAATTCTGCGTAGAAAATGTACATAGAAGTGACGTCACGCGACATTTCACATCAATATATCGTCGAAAGTATTCGTCTCTGTGAGAAAATAAAAAATGCGTGTCTAATGATTTAAAATAATCTACCAGACGGATATTAAAATAAAAATTAGGCATCTACCCAATTAAATAAGGACATTAAACAACCCTTGACAGTTCATTGATGGAGTCTGGGCACCTACTCTAAAAAGGTTTGTCATGATCTCCACAGTTGATAGACGGGTTACAGTTCGCAGGTTAAGTCTCAGGTTTAATAGAGAGCCCTGCTGCCTAGTCCCTGTTGAATGTGTAGTCCCTTACTCGGCTCTTACGACATCATAAGATAGGAACTTACAAATGCATACTACCCAGTTCTTGTATAATATTATTGCTACCTATGTTTTCTTTGCCTAACAATATCGGTAATTGTTTTTTAGCTACTATGTTTTAACAAGGTACCATGCCCAATTAATTTCGTTCAAGTGTTCGTTATAATATAGTGTAACTGGTATGTAACTAGATAGCAAGTTGTTATTACATTAGTTT